TAATTCCCTATTTTTGCCAATTTAACGATGAGTTATCACGTAACCCTTGAAAAAAACAATCCACAACAATGGGTTTTATTAGCTGTCAATTCTTGCAGCGTAGAATTGAATATTAATTTAATAGCACGCAGAAAAGTGTTGTATCAAGAAATATTATTTGCATTATGGAACAATTAAATATTAGGGATAAAATTGAAATTATTCGTTTAGTGGGTGATAACTATCTTCAAGCAGGAGAAGCTGCCAGAGAATTTAACAACAGACATCCCGACAGACCTGCAGTAAGTAGAAGCACGGTTCAACGAATAAATAGAGTTTTTAATGAAACTGGTTGTGTGTCAAAATACTTACTAAAAAACAGAAGGCCGGAACATCGAATAAATAGGCGGAATGAGGAAATATTAGAATATTTTCGTAACAATCCTCGTGCAAGCATTAGAGGCGCCAGTGTTGATTTGGATATACCAAGGGAAAATATTAGGAGATGTTTGCGAACTAATAAAGTTAAACCCTTTAAACCAAAGATTTTACACACTTTGGAAAACGGAGATGATGTTAGACGATTAGAATTCTGCTTATGGGCTCAAGCAGAGTATTTAAATAATAGAAATTTCTTAAAAGAAATTTTATTTAGTGATGAGGCAACATTTAGTACAAACGGAGTAGTATCCTCTCAAAATTCGCGATTCTGGGCAGTCGAAAACCCTGAATGGGTGATCAATACAAGAAGACAGTATTCTCAGAAATTAAATGTGTGGTGTGGCATACTTGATGATAGAATCATTGGTCCATATTTTTTTGAGAGAAATTTGAATAGTCCAACGTTTTTGAATTTTCTGATTAATGACTTTTGGGATGCAATACATAATTTACCATGCCAAACCCGTTTGAATTTAAAATTTCAATTGGACGGATCACCTGTGCATAACGCGGCAGTTGTCAGGGAATGGTTAAATGAAAATTTTGAAAATAAGTGGATAGGTCGAAATAGCCCGCTAATTGAGTGGCCACCGAGATCCCCGGACCTAACACCCCTTGATTTCTTTCTTTGGGGTTTCTTAAAGCAACAAGTTTACAAGTCTAGACCTCAATCTGTAGATGAATTACGTATTAGAATTACAGAGGCTTCTGCAAATATTACACCACAGCAGCTTAGGAATGTAACTGTTAATCTAAGAAAAAGATGCGACAAATGTATTGAACTGAATGGAGGGCTGGTAGAAGCAACTAGAATTATTTGAATATGTTTAACTTATTATTCGGTTATTGTGTTGCTTGTAGTATTTTTATCATTGTTTGTAATAAAACTCGTTGTCGTGGATTGTTTTTTTCAAGGGTTACTTGATAACTCATCGTTAAATTGGCAAAAATAGGGAATTATTTAATTTAACTGCAGAATTATTAATAATTAATATTTTTAAACGAAATTTGGTACAGAACTGTTTTGGGGGATGCCGAATGTAGGGGTGTACTCAAATTTTTTGAAAAAAAAATCGCTAATATGATTTTGCAAATTTTTCACCACAAAAACTTTATTAAGTAGGCCTTGTTTTTTGTGAAATAACGTGACATTGAGCCCTAAAGTACATTTTTTGAAACTTTTTATTTGAAAAAAAAATCATCAAAATCGGACTATAAACACAGATTTTATGGAGGGTGCCCGGTCTTGAGTGGGTCACACTGTATACTCAGAGATATTTTTCCATGCGTTGTCTTTGGCCACCTTATCCTTATATGAGTTTCTTTTCATCTACCAGAGAACTGGAAATTGACGTACACAATCTACTAAATGTTCGTCGAAGTCATCATCCCATGTTTGTGACATGGCAGAAAATAAAACACATAATTTAACCGCCAAAAATTACAAATAGACCGACGCCGATGTGGTGGATGCTACAAAAGTACTAGCTGCGATGTCGTTCAGAAAAGATTTTATTTTTCTCGACGACGTGCCGCAGCGACATCTGCGATGCCGCCATGTCGCTACCGCAAGTCGATAGGTTAAACAACATACTAATTTGATTAGTGCTAGATTAAATTTACGGCACACCGCAGTGTCGCACGTCGTTGTCGCATGTCGCAGTGTCAGAAAGTAAAACATCCTACCTTAACCAAGAAAGACCGTAAAAGAATAGAGTGGACACTACAAAAGACCCCGTTAATAAATGTCATCCATAAAATCAAATCCCTCAAGTGGCAATGGGCAGGACCCCTGGCAAAAAGGACGGACAACAGATGCTCCGCCAAAATTACAGCATGGTCAATCTCTATCAATAATTAAAAAAATATATATTTTAAATTATATCTACCGTACACCAGGTGGTCATGAGAGTAATGTTTCAAGTCTTGCCCGAAAATATATAGAATTACAAGCAGCAGCTGTGTGGCTATCGTTCTAAGGGCTATGTTTACAAAGGTACACATGTCCACCCCTAAACGTGTTTGATTATAGAGTACTAATTCGTTCTATGAGGTGTTAAAGTAAGCTGTATCAGTCAAATAAGAGAAGGGAAACTAAACTCAGCCAAAAAAGAGTTATATTTATGAAATTGAAGGATGTTATCAAAACTGACCTGGCGCATTCGCCATAATATTAACATATTTATTATTGTTATTTATGGTACTAGTAGTGTATAGTATTTCTCAAGTATTCTCTCTTTTACAGTTATATTTCTCAAGTGACTTATACGTTATAACACGCGAATGTCATACAAAATTTTATCCAACAGCAGAACTGTTTCATGTCCAATCTCTAAAGAATAATTGATTTAAAAGGATCTACCAGTTCTACTTTCATTGTTGCGAATTAATAAATTATCAGGGTGCGTTTATGTTACTGTGCAATATAGATGTGCGTTTTGTTTTTTTGTAAATAATCTCTGTAAATAATAAATAGCACTGATATTAAGACATCATTTAGATAAATCGCGATTTTACGATAAACGATAAAATAATGATTTATCAACCAGCCAATCAGATTTTAAAGGAAAATGATTCAGGAAGATCTTCCGCAAGTGCTTGGGCCTCATCCTGAGCAATACACCGGCCATTGTATGAGAAGATCATCCTCTACATTACTGGCAAATTCAGGAGTGAACATGACAACGTTAAAAAGACACGGAGGATGGCGATCTGCAACGGTTGCGGAAGGATATATCGAAGAGTCCGTCAACAATAAAATAGAGTTTGCGAAAAAAGATTCAAGGTGATGTAACTGTTTCAGAACGAGCCGTTGTAATGACAGAGCCTATTTCAAGCAGTGGAGGGACAGTATCTGGAGTCCGGAGCGTGGCTAACGTCTTATTCAAGGCCTGACTGTTTTGACAGTTCTACCGAAGTGGTCCAGAATTAGTAGTCGTAAACAAACCAATTGTTTTTATTAGTTTCGCAACAAATCTGTGTTTTTTACGCGTTTCTATGCTAATAAAATTATACTAAATAATTTTGAGTGAATAGTGAACTATCTAGATCCGATTCATAACATCGTACCCGCGAAAAAAAACATACTTTCGGTAAAAATTATAGTAACACCGGCGATGCCGGCTGTGTGTCCGGGCTAGGCGAAAGTTGGGAAATTTATATAAAAACATAATTAATAGTGTTAGCGTTAGTGTATAGTGTTAAAGCAACGTAATTGACGTATATTTTTATGTAAAACAGTTTTCGTTTCTTTATTTTTACTTGGTAAAATAAAAAATTCCGCGACATTGTTCTGTGCCTGTGCCTTGTAGCAGCAATTATAATAAGTCCTCAGGATCTGTCTACATTCTCTTTCCCAACAATATTAACTGTAACTAGGTCACGTCCAAAACCTACAGAACATGCTCTGTCTACAATTTTTCCAAATCAACCCTCTTATGGACCCTCTGTGCATGTTCCCATAAAGAGAAAACGTCCCGATGAAAACAAGATTTGGAAATTCAGGATGAAATAAATATTGAAAAGTATTGCTATTATTATGAAATATAGGTATATTATTATTATGAAATGGCAATATATTTTAAAGAAATTAAATGAATTTGTACTTTATGATGATGATTATCTTTTTATTTACGATTTATGGAGATGGTTACTTGATGAACATCGAACTACAAATTACTTAATGTTAATAGTTAATTCTATCTGATATCCACATTTTTTAAATATGTTAGGCAAATTTTTACAATTATTTTTAATTAAACTTTAAAATGTATTCTGCCGTTATCATATACAATACATTTTCTTAACTTGTCGATAAACATATAGTTTTCAAATTTTTTAATATTTGGAAACTTTTTATCACAGGTATATTATTACTAGTTACTAAATATTCGCTAACGCAATTTTAGGACACGCTTTTTATTATCTAGATTTTATTTTGTTCATCTTATGCTGTAGTTTATTTCATATTAATATTCGTGCTTTAGATCTAAATTTTAATGCTATTCAATTACTTCAACGCGATAAAAAGTTAATGTTATTTTTTAATACCTTTCTGTATAATATTTTTCATATTTATATCTAGCAAAACTATCAATAAATACTATTATTTATGCAAAAACTATATGCAGTACCATATGGCACAATACAAAAGCCCGACTAGTGCGGTGACGTCACAAATCGATGTCTCTGGCCTGTATGTCATGTTGGTTATGTCTGGAGGCATACAAGGTTTTAAAATTTTTGAATCTACTAAAATAATTTCATTTTCATTTAATGTTAATGTTAATTTAAATAAATACTTTTTTTTTAATAATTTAATGTTATTGTTTTATATTAAAGTTAATCTATCTTAATATATTTTTTTATAATAACAATGCAAGTGCATGTAAATATTCTAATACACAATAAAAACAAAAGATTATCATTACAAATAACTGTTTTCTAATAATAGGTTATCGATTGACCTTAACATTTATTTCTGGAATTCGACCCAAAGACCCAAATAAATTATTCGTTTATCAAAAAATAATCGATAAGAGAAACGGAAAAATCAGGAAAGACAATAAAAACACAATTCGTATTATCAATAATTTAGAAATTTATTTTAAAGCGTTAATGTCAGAATGAAATAGTACAAAAACAAACATAAAATCAACAATAACAATATGAATTTTGAATAATTTATTACACATCAATTTTTTTTATATCTATTAATATCCAGAAAAATATGTTTTATCAGTTTTTTCTTCAAGTAAACCTCAAAAAAAAGGTTCTTTTATAAATTTCTGGATATTTTTCCTTGTTAGATATACTTAATAGCATTATTATAGAAAATGTGTGCAAAAAGTGCGATAGATATTATTACAGTCTTGTGCACAAGTCATAAATAATGATTTACACTATTTCTACGACTTATTTAGCCACAATTCTGGGTTCCAATCTGGAAACAAGACCTTGAAGTCTTCTGGTTCTTCTCCTTGATTCACTTTGACGATTTTCGTATTTTGGTTTCTCGCCGATACGTAATCCTAGAGAAAAAAAAACATAATATACCGTATGAAAGAAGAGTAAGTGCAAGTATTTTAACTGATAGTATAGTTCAACCCCAGAAACACGCCTATGAGGTTTTTTCGCGAAAAAATTTTATTAAAAATTCGGAATTTTTTGAAAAATACTTGCACTTATACCGGGTGTTGCATCGTCGGACGGGACATTGGAAATCCCATGTAAATTTTAATGGGGTCAATTATTGGCTTTCCTAATTATTTTAGAGAATATATCTATTTAGGTTTATTGAAGAGCACTAAAACCCACATTAGTTTGTTTACGAGTTATCGCCGATTTCTTTTTAAATATTTCTCCTTTCTTATGGCCCTGTATTTACTTATGAGCACCAGCCAAGGTAAAAGGTAACTGTCAAATGAAGTTGTCATTTCAGAAATTTACCTATTTAGTGCTTTATTATTATTGAAAACTCATTCCTACATCGGAAATCTTAAAGATGGTATTTATAAATATAAATTAATATGAATTAAAGTAAAATAAAGTAATAAATTACAAGGTTAATTATAGTATTATTACAATATTCAATAACTTATTAATTTAGGTATTATTAAATTGTTAGAACTTTGTTCAAATATTCCTCCATCGACTGCTAGACAATAACCCAGGCGATCATAAAATTCTCTTCTTACATTCGCTAGTTGGTAAATTGAAATTCTATTGCATTCGGCAGAAATAGCATTTTTTAACTCGTCTAGATTTGGGTATTTTTTATCCTTGTATATCCTGTTTTTTAAATGGCCCCAGAGAAAGAAATCATTTGGCGAAATATCAGGAGACCTTGCTGGCCAATTTACTGTATGATTTAGGCCAATAACGTTTCCGTTAAAACTATTATCTAAATATTCCCGAACAGCCAGGGTACTATGTGCCGGGCAGCCATCCATTTGGTACCAAACTTCCTGATTTTCCCTAGCGGCATCATCTAAAGCAGGTAAAATATGATTTTCGAGTAGTTCGAAATAATATTCTGCATTTAAATTTCGCGTAAGAAATAATGGCTCGATAATATTATGTCCGAATATCCCTGCCCAAACATTTACTTTCTGTGGATATTGCGTCCGTGTTTCGACAAACCTGTGTTGGTTTTCTTTGTTCCAATATAGATAATTTTGAACATTGGGTTCATTATTTAAGGTAAACGTGCATTCGTCAGTGAAACATATGTTTTTTAAAAATTCCCTATCGGTGTTTGCTCTTTCCATCATATCAAAACAAAACGCCTGCCGCCGTATTTCGTCCTCATCTCGTAGCTCTTTGTACTTTTCATATTTGAAGGAATAGTATTTATGTCGTTTCAAAATTCGAAACGCTGTAGTGTGATCTATTCCTATTTCATCCTCAAGTTTCCTTGTGCTGATCTTTCCATCGTTCTCTTTCACGCACAATAAAACTTCCAAGTCAGTATCATTTCTTGCATCTTCTCTTTGTTCCTGCCTTGCTTCACATCTGCAGTTATTTATTAGGGTACCTTTGGTCTCAAATCTCTGGATATTCGATTGTAGATTTTCCAGGTATCGGTCTATTCGGATACCGAGCGTTCTCTGTATCCGAAACATGTCCGACACCTTTTGATAACTATTTCCTTGATAATACCATTTAATCATCAATACTTTTTTTCGGTAGTGTAATTCATGGCTAATATTTCCGATGTAGGAATGAGTTTTCAATAATAATAAAGCACTAAATAGGTAAATTTCTGAAATGACAACTTCATTTGACAGTTATTTTTTACCTTGACTGGTGCTCATAAGTAAATACAGGGCCATAAGAAAGGAGAAATATTTAAAAAGAAATCGGCGATAACTCGTAAACGGGCTAATCAAAAATATCTAAAGTTATTCTTTTGAAACGTGGGTTTTAGTGCTTTTCAATAAACCTAAATAGAATTATTCTCTAAAATAATTAGGGAAATCAATAATTGACCCCATTAAAATTTACATGGGATTTCCTATGTCGCGCTCGACGATGCAAGACCCAGTATATACCCTTAAAATACTTGTACTTCTGGGACACCCTGTATATAGGTTATTATACAGGGTGTCCCAGAAATAAGTGCAAGTATTTTAAAGGGTGGTAGATCTCGATAAGAGAAACATATTTTCTCTTTATCGTTTTCCAAATAAGTCCAAAACAACGGAGTTATTTTACTTTGAAAATTTCCAAAAAAAATGATTTTTGCTAAAACTTTGAGAACCACTGGATCTTTTCTGGAATTTCTTTCTTGTAAATTTAATCTACTACCTATGTTGCCATATTATCAAGAAATTATGTTTTTTAAATAAAAACTAAAATCTGATAGGCGTGTTTCTGTGGTTGAACTATACTACCAGTAAAAATACTCGCACTTATTTCTGGGACAGCTTGTATATTATAAGAAAACTAAGATACAAAGGGAGTCGAAAAAAGCAAAATCTTCAAATTCGTCCTGTGGTTCAGAAACCAAGAGGGCTAGGACAAATTTGTGTGTGGCATTTTCAATTTCATAAAAAAGACACGGTGATGTGAAAACCGCATCTTTGTATCACTATTCATAAACGAGGAACCCCATAAATAACACGAAAATGTGACAACCTGTACAGGGTGACTCCTGAAAAAAAAATTACCTGAATCAATTGGTCGCTCTTGGCTTGTTCTTCCTCATCGGTACCTTCCCCGATCCACAAATACACTGTTTCCGCTTCCGGTACATCGAGGATCATGAGATCATCGATATTCAAGTCATCCTGATCGAAGTCACCCACTTCTTCCAGCCTAAATTTGGTAGTACCTGGTCTCAGAAGAGCGTGAATCAAGCGGGGCTCTCTGGTAGCCCTAGCAATACGTCTACGGGTCTCTCCGTAGCCCTGCCATGTACGGAAGTACTGTGTGAAAGCGGCAGTTTCGGCACCCTAAAAATATATCAGAAAAATAAACAATCAATTCATTCAAATTCATAGTAAAAAAAAGTTAAAAATAATATCCTTAAATTGCTGACCTGGATATTATTTATTTGAATCTTTCAATTGGCTCGATTTTCCTTATTCAATGTTAATTAGCGCTGATCAATATTGTTGCGATATTAATTAAATAAATAATTAAATAGTTTTGTTAAGGTACCCAAAACAAAAAAAAAGTATCAAGTGTGGAATATTATTGTTAGTAGTGGGAACTATCGAATGAATACTATCGAAACATTCGATAGTTGCAATTCATTCGAATAATTCGATAGTTAGTAAGAAAACATTCGTTGAAAACTATTCGAATAAAAATTATCGAATATATCCGTCATCTGCTTTGAAATATTGTATTCTAGTAATTCGGCAGCAAAAACCATTCATTTATAAAATTCATTCATTTATGAAATTCATTTATTCGTCAGGATCGATTATAATAAAATATTAACTGAATTTTAGTTGTCGCACGGCGACGTAGGTTTCTTTCCGAGAAACCCGACAGCGGTCGGTGGCAATGCTATGAAAGAAGAAATCTTTGATTTTTTGCGGAGTCAGATATAGATAAGGACACATTATTTTTTTTATTGAGGTGCTAGTATTTATACAGAAAATACATTATGAAGGGCGCTGTTGCCATATTTTGGTATAAGTTGATATTAGCAAAGAATATTATTGTTTGACTTTAGTTAGTTAGGGATAGTATGTCTATATATTCTGCATTTTATTAATATTCTGTTGTTACACTGCAATAATACTTGTTATTTTGGATGTAGGAAAATGATTTTTAATGTTTTTAAGCAAAGACTGGTTTAATAAATAATAATAACAGTAATAATTTGTTATACCTATTAACAACAAAATTTAAAATCATTTAATATAAATATTTTCTTTTAAGTAGTAGCAAAATATAAACAACAAATTAGATGTCAAAATTATTTATATTAGATCCTATTTAAAAATAATATAGTCTCTAAATTTTTTGTGTGTGGCAACGTTGGTTTATTAAATAATAGTAATTACAGAACTAATTTGTTATATTAACAACAAATTTTAAAATCATGAAATATAAACATTTATTAATTTTCTAAGCATGCAGTGTAATGGAAGGAAAATATAAATAAAAAATTAGAAATCAAAATTATTTATATTAGGTGCTTTATATTACTATTTAAAAATTATATTTACTTTTGAAATATTTCTTCGCAAAAAACTACATGTAAGAGAATTAGCATAAACAAAATACAAACATCGTTAACTTTTTTTTTAAATTGGCACGTGTAAAACTTTCATTTTAATTTTCACCCCATAGTTTGAGTTCAATAACCATTTACTTAACCACATTACTTAAATATGATTATTAAGTTCAACTAATTCATATTATTAAAACATCTAAAATACAAATATGTATTTTTAAAATTAATTGTAAGTTCATCTCATCTCTCTTAAAAATTCTTCAAAACTTCTCAAAATTTCCCATTAAAAAATAGACCATATATCATATAAAATTAAATAATTGAAAGATCGGACTACGGAAAACCACACAAATTTTCGTAAAAATTTTGACCACCTGCACATGCACACAATCGTCAATAAATAAAATTAAAAAATAACTACTATTTTAGTATTTTAACTATTTTAATAAACGCAAAAATAGCACAGTATTTATACGGCGAAGTTATAAAAATTTGGAAGAACTAATAATGCACTGACGCATACAAAAATCAAACGAATACTAAATTTCATTTATCAAAAGCATTCGATAGTCGTGGCTCAACGATAACCATTTAGTCGCATGGCGAGGTTGTCACATATGCTTTAGTATACAAATGAATGAATGATTTTATTCGAATAAAACCATTCGATAGTTGAAATCATTCATTCATTAAACATTCGATAGTCTAATTCATTCGATAGTTTCCAGCGCTAATTATTATTGTACTCACGAAACCGAGTTCTTTCAAAACTTAAATAAAAAATGCAGGTCCGTATTTAAAAAAACTAAGTTGACCTCTGTATCTCACATATTATCAGCTAATTTGAAAATCTAAAAATCATCAGTTAGCCCTAACAAAATAGCTACGAGAATGTGTAATTAGTTTTTTGGTTTTCTAAAAAGTAACGACAGGAAAAAATAAAATTGATTTTCAAAAAAAAATCCGTTTTTCCAAAAAACTCAGCAAACCTTGAATTTGTTTTTGTGGCATCTTGGTGAACATCACAAGAAGCAACTTTGCCCCAATTTAACTATGTTCGTATCTATTACGGTTTCCGAGATACCAATGCTCGTACCTCGAAATTGTAGCACCCTGTATAAGCAATCTCAGATACTATACTTGTCTAGACGCGAGAACGTAAGTAGACCGAGCTTGGAGAACAGCGCAGTCATAATTTCTCTCATGTCGACAATAGTTGGTCGAGTTTTGTAAACACTGTCTTTAACATATCCCCATAAAAAATCCAAGACGAGATAAAATCAGGAGCATTAAGTATTCTATTAATTGGTGAATGCACATATGCTCACAAAATTTCATTTCAATCCAAACTGTCGCTCTTCTTCGAGCATCCGCGGCGTATGAGAGGCGTCATCCTGTATTTATAACACGCCTATAAATTGATCTCTAACAGAGAATGTTGTTTCCCCCCTTACGAATGCCCCATAGCTACAGAACGGATCGACGTACTGTACCTGTACGACTCGCTCTACGTGAGTCCACGCTGGTCTTTTCTTGGCTGTCAAATAGGCATCGGCTTTTTTCATGGACTCGCGTTTCTCTTGGGCTGTGGCTTTGCGACCTATCCATACGAAAACATCTATATCGCCGGTGTCCAGGATAAACACGTCGTTCTCATCCAGTAAAGATTGGTCAAGAGGTCGAGTTCCTACAGGTTGAATCTTCAGAGACCCTGGAATAAATGTATTATTAATTATTAGAATAAATTAATTAATTTCAAAAATATAAATAAATATTTGGATTGTTCTGAATATTGAGAATATAACAGCCAGATAATTACTATAAATAAGAACCCTAGAATTCCCAACTGACAAAGTAGTACGACAAAGAGACAATACATGATATCACCAAAGCTGTTTATAGCAAGACTAGAAAAACTCTTCAGTCTACTAGAATGGACCAGCAAAGGATTGAAAATAGATGGAGAATATCTTAAGATATCTAAAATTGGCTAATGACATAGTCCTTAATTGCCAATAGTCCTGAAGAACTACAAGCACAAATTAACGAACTAAATACAGCCAGCAATAAAGTAGATCTCAGAATGAATTTAGCAAACTAAAGTAATGTACAGCGAACCGATGGACAGAATAGACATTCTAATAAATAAAACAATACTGGAAATAGTAGAA